TCCCACCCAATCCTGCTTCTTCCCCTTCCCTTTCACCTAAGCGCCCTGAACATTAAACTGGCTCACGGCTTGTTTTCCAGAGAACCCAGACCGTGACACAGTTGTTTGTGGCCACAGTATAACCTCACCCATACTGACTGTTACAATAAATGCAAATGTTCCTCTGTAGCTTCTTAAAATAGCTGGCAAATTGTTTTCACCCATAAAATTGTTTAGGAAGAATAGAATTTAACTTAGAAGCTTATGAAAAGCTAGCTGAGGTAAGCCATTTTGCATCTAGACACACAATATTTCATGTTTGGAGATATGTGCCCACCTGCCAGGAATTTTCAACAGAACAGGAAGAGAAAAAGATAGGAGCAGTTGTTACAAATAAACTTTCCACTTAACGCATCCAGCTTTTTCCATAACTACTGAACAGAATGTGGGGCTAGATAAATTCTGTTGCTGAGTTTTCACATTCTTGATCAGGATTCTCTATACAACATAGATTGGCTTTCCTGAAAGATGTAGGAGTTATCAAATGCCTTAAAACTCAATATTAAATTAATATAATTTGTTTACAGGTAGTCTATTCCCATTCTTACATTATGAAGTCTCTTACGTTATTAATCTGTCTGACTGCGATCTATAATTATATTTTTGCCAGGGAGAAAATATACTTCCAGAGCATTCAAGTAATTATCACTTCATAAAGAGTTCAAGGCTAGACAAATTGAAGCAAAATCTACATACTTATTGACATCATGAAAACTGACAGAAATACCATTCCATAACAACAGAAAAGGCACACAAGACTAAAGAACAAAGTAAAATATACATTCCGGAATACAGAATTTTTTTTTAAATCCTGTGCTACAAGGTATTAAATATTAATTTACAAACTATACACTCAATGTACATAAGATCAAAAAATTAGAGTTACTACTCTCTCACACCCAAATGTCAGAAATCAGAATATTGTGGTGTCACACTATTTACCTATCAGGGACCATATAATTACATTTAAGACCTTATGCTGAAATGTAGAGACTGGCTTATCAATTATGCATAAATAGTACAGGTGAAAAAAGATACATTCATTGGCAAATTGTCCTACAAATACTCATATTTTTTCATGAAAATATACATCTGTAATACTTGAAGAACACATTTAAAAAATTATTTTAATAGTCCACTTGAAATGCCAGTTTCATAAGTCAGTCTTAAATGCATACTTGAAACACACTAAAAAAAATGCAAAGGTTGTGTATACAAAACCCAAAACTAGATATAGAGAAAACGCCTATTAACCATTTGAATACCTTTGTAATAAAAACCATATTTCTGGATGTTGCCTAAAAACTTTTTCCACCAGCCCTTTAAATGATGGTACTTCACTGGGTATTTCCCTCTGCTAAATCAAAATTTCTCTTAATATTCTAAAGTTGCACACTTGTCCTATTTATTGCATTTACTCGTATACCCACAGTTTTACTCAGATTTTGTTCCCTGCCATTCATTCAGTAAACATTTATTTAGTTTCTTATAATCTGCCAGGCAAAGTGGGCATCACTATTGGACCCTCAATATTGATTGAAATGATTTTATAATGTTTTAACATACAAGGCAATTTCTTATTGGCTTCAGTAAATAGTCTCTATGTAATATATTTATTCATTCCCTGGTAATGAATCATACTTGAATTCCTAGAATAAATCCTACTTGGTCATGGTTTATTATATTTTTAAAACATTGTCTCAAAATGCACTTCGATTTTAAGGTATGTTTCAATGCATGAAACTCTCTCACTTGTGAATGTTAAAATCCTCAGTCAAACTACTTAGTGACACTTAAGAGATGTGAAAAACAAGCAACCTGATTCCTTTTTTCCCACTAACCCTAGAAAATTAACGTTTAAGACAATATTCACTTTCAATAACCAAATAGTTTCAAAGTATAAGTACCGTATGTCTAATAACATGAAATCCACTCAATGAGACTTATTTTTCCATTGTACCTTTACCCTCGTTATGTACTGAAAGGTTCTCTTTACCAGGAAGATCATTTTAATCTTCAATCAGGCACAATAACAATACCACCAATGATAGAAAAAATTAATAAAGTTTGAGATTTAAAATCTGACTTCAAGCTAGATTTACAAACTGAAACACTAAGTAATATATCATTGTATATGTTATAGTCAATCTAGTCTTATTCACCAGTGGTGCTCTATTATTAGTTGCACTCAAGTCACTTTTTAAAATGTAGATGTGTCCACTGCCTAACCTAGGAAAATCAAATTACATCGGTCTGTTTTTTTATTCCCTACAGCCTTCAAAGGGGATGCCAAGGTACACTATCTTTGAAAATCAGCATCTATAATGTATAATATAATGAGAACTTTGAAGGTAAGGTTATATCCTCAAAGATTAATGATATTCGCTGTATAAAATTTACTGTGGCACTAAGATTGAAATAGTACAATTTATAGCAATGAAAAATTAGTATTAGCACAAATATTCCTACCTTTTAAAACATGATATAACACAGAGCAATCAGCTTAAGTGTTCAGGTACTTTTCAGTTAAATATGCCATAAAAATCCTAGTGTACTCTACTGAAGAGAAAAATTAGCAACATGACTTTTATTTTCCAAAACAGATCCATCTTATGATTGGATCATTATACAATGATTATATTTTATTTCCACAAAACATACTGCATAAGGAGAACAATTATTTTGGAAGGCATTTCCTGAAATATAAAAAATACTTTTCCTAGGAAAATATTCTAACACTTAATGCTACAAACCAGGGAGAATAAATACAGACTGGGGGGGTGGGGGTATTGGGAATTACACATTAATAATCAAATGAGATAAAATAAAAATATTTACTCTATCTTGAATTGTATGGCTGTATTATGTTTTTGTTGTTCATATCAGCACATGGCAAAAAAAATCCTGTTAAAATATAAAACTGTTCAAAATATGTTATTCTTCCTTCAATCTGAACAATTTGCTTGAAAAATGAAACTGGTATTTGCTCCTATCTTACCATAGCATTAAGAAACATCTTTAAACATAAGGTGTCTTGTAATCTGTTGCCAAAATTAAAAACATACAAAGTACCCAACAAAATAGCATGGTGTAGTCAAGCAGAAAGACAACCACAAGTTTCAGAATTTACAAAAGTTATTTCTACCGCTTAATACCGCATGTCTTGGGCAAGTTCCTTTCACTGGCTTCTGCTTAACATACTGGAAATGAGTTTGTTAATACCTTGTTACAAGGTTATTAGAGAGGTTACAGTTTTTTGTGTATATAAAGTCCTTAGCTCTTAGCATAATACATAGCTCTCAGAAGACACTTAGTAATAAAGAATAATAATTAGAATAAAGATAATTTGATCTCTCTCTCTCTCTCTCTCTCTCTTCTTTTCTCTCTATTTCTGAAAAACTAACGTCTCTAATGTTTTTTCACTTTAATAAGGTTTTCAGATACAAAATATGACAATCATGAACAATATGGAAGAAATAAATATAAACTCCTAATATGTGAGCTATAAAATATTTCAACATTAAATTTACTCCATTAAAGTACAAAAATTGGGTGGAAGCTCCTGGAATAATCTTTGCAAAAGTTCAAAATCTCACTTTATAGATTTTTTAACAATAACAACAAAATTCTACACTTTTCCTAGGATTATTTTCTTATAAGAAAAACAAAACAAAACTTTCATCTACCTCCATAAAACTAAGCTTACTGTCTCATCACCATAGGCAAAGTAATATGCTGACAGTCCCAGCCAGGCAATGAAAGCTCATAATAAGCAGAGACAATCTCATTTTCATCATGAATTATTACTTCAAATTATTATTTCAAAAAGCAAATATTTAATAATTTAGGATCTAAAAACCCTAAGGACAGTGGATGGATTCTTCTTAATGATTATTTACAGACAGACACTCATAGCTTAGAGTTAAAAAGCATGCTTAATTTATTACTAGGAATTTTCTTCCAAACAAACTTATAGTATAAAGATCAAAGTGTTTATTAAGAGTTATAATTTTCTTTATGTGCTGCCACTTGAAATAATTTTTCAAAGTAGATTATGTGTCTTTATGATGTTTAATAGCAAAAGTATACTTATACCTATTAAATATGTTATTCTTTGGTCTCTTATTTTTATTTATCAAAATGTTTCTTAATAACTTAAAAAATTGGTATATTACTTTACAACATCAATAAAAGGTACTCTAAAGTACTGCTTAAATATAAATATCAACTACGATTTATCTGTAAAATGATACACAGAGAAGAAATGTTTTCACTATATCTACTGCATAAACTTAGTATTTCAATAAATATATTCATGTAATATTCAGAAATTGATAGGACTATAGACAGCATATTTAAAATTAAGTGAATTGTATTAATGTACTGTATTTCTGGTTCTCTAGAAAAGATTAGTTACTTCCATTTGTAGTTCTGGGTTTACATTTTGTCCCCAAATATTATTTCTTTAACTCTACTTATTCTACATTTATTTCTCTAGTTCTACCAGCTTCCTATACCAAGTAAGTATATCTGGTAAGTTTCATTTAAATGCACCTTTACTCATCCACACTAAATCTAAAATGCTTAAATGCTTGCATTACTACTATTTGTAATTTACATAACTTGATAGTGCTGTTATCAACCCATGATCAAAACTAATTGCAACAATCAAACAAAGCAGACTGATGTAGTGCTCATGTGGGGATATGATATATAAAAGCCTTCAAAAAGCATATTCAAACCCAGGTTTGTCAACTCCTCTGTCTCTACCAGCTCACCCCAGTTCACCTGCTCTCCTGGCGCTATACTACTACTGAATTTAGAGAGAATTCCATTCATAATCTGTCATGAATTTATCTCTCTAAAATGGTATGTACACATGCTGTCAAGTAATGTATTTCAGAAACTACATGAAAAATTTCTGATATTTCCTACTTTGTACAATCCTAACAGATACATACCTATGTCATATGCCAGGAAATCGGCAGAAAAACATTTTGCACCGTTACTCAAGGAAGTGTCATTATGGGTATTTCCTCCAAAAATAAGCATAGCTCCATTGATAAGAACAGCTGAATGAAGGTATCTGGCAAACCCACTTTCTTTCAAAATAGTCCTACAGGATAAAATTTAAAAATGTATTACAAAGGATAAAAAGACCTCCCTGATTTTATATATATTATAAAAAGGATCTAATTTGCATATAGAATTTTCCTTGGAATTGTGAAATAACATGCTTAATTTTTTTAACATAAATGTCCTCTAAACTTCAACATTTTAAAAAATATATATGGCCTCTAAACTTCATATTTAAAAAATATTCCAGATTCATAGTACCCTAAAATCTTTGAGGAAACACATTACACATAATTATTAATGATTTTATAATAATTTATATTTTGAATGTTGTTTTTTATTTATAAAAGTAGGAAACAAATCTTCTTAAGAGAGGACCGATCTTATCAGCTCTAAATACCAAAGTAAATAAAAAGTTAAATATAATAAATTTATTCGGAACTGTATTCAGTTAAAACTATGTAACTCATATGGATCCCATAATACAGTTTTTAAATTTTAAAGTATAATATAACATACACAATAGTGCACTTATCATATAAGTCTAAAATTCAATGAATTTTCTCAAGGTGAACACAACTACATAACCAGCACTCAGATTTTAAAATGTATATATCACTACTATTCTGATTCTAATAGCAAATATTTGTATTGCTATCTTTGTACTTTACAAAATGGGATCATATAGTGTGTGTTCATTTGTACATTCTCTTGCTAAAGATTGATTTTGAAATACATCCATATGCTGTGTACATCTAAAAATCACAAAGCATTTTTGAGAAACATTAAGAATATGAATGTTCTTTCAATTAAAGTATAACTCTGAAATACTACCAACATATTTTCACAATTATATTTCACCTGAATGAATTGATATATAATAAAGGTGCATAACAATATGAATCCATGCTTTATAAATACTCTAAATAAATCCCAGTACAAACAAAGAATCAAAATGTAAATACAGTTAGTGTGTATGGTAGAGTTAGTAAGGCATATACATAGTATCTCAAAAGCCATGGACTATCATACCAATTAATGCTAAAAGAATATGGAGCAGACTTCCAGAATGGCAATATAAGGAGTTCCACAAACACTCTCCCCAATAATTACTACGATTAGTAAAAATTATAGAAAACAACCATTTCGGGTCTAAAAACTCTTATCTTACTAAGAGCAACAACAAATAAATACTAGGTTGTCGGAAAAGTCATGACGCATTTTTGCAACAAAAAACATAGAAAAAATACATCATGACTTTTCCGACAACCCAATACTTAAAAATAACTACTAAATTTCAGTAAGAACAGCGATAGTCCATGATATCTAACCCATTACCTGCTCCAGTCCTTCCCTCCACAACCCCAAATGCACGCCCAGGTCAGCAAGACAGAAGTTTACCCCAAGCAGGCATGTAAAGTCAAAGAACAGAGAACCCCTTCATCCGTCAGCTCCTAGTCCAGGCTGCTGACATCTACCCAGGAGCAGCGGACGACCGACCAGTACCACTCATGCCCCTGCTCTGGGCGGCAGCAGCTCTATTCAGGGAAAAAGCATGAGGTCTGAGTGCTCATCCTCTACCTAGCCGCCACTCAAAGGATGGAAGCTATACACCAGGCCTGGCAGGTTAAGGGCACAAGGGCCAAAAAGTCTTCTCCCCACCTTATTCGTAGGGCAGAAGCTCCTTGCCAAAAGAGGCAAGGAGAACAGCAGGGGCGATCATCCCCATCCAGCGCCCTGCACATAGAGCAGTTGTGTCACTCCAAAAGGAACAGGCTACCTACCCTTGGTACCATTCCAAATACTGGCACAGAGGCTTTCCCCCACAGAGCCAGGCGGACTCAAAAAAAGAAAAGCTCTAAAGCTCTTAGAAGAGAACTGACTTGAGTTGGAACTGAGGGTGGGAAGCTTCAAGCCTTAAGGAAACGCTCAAAAACCATGGAGGTTTTGCCAGGAAGCAATTAGGAGACAGCTAGGGGATCTATGAGGACAAGAAGCTAAAACACAGACAAGCTAAAAGTTACCCGAGAGAACCTAGGGAAAAGGCCGCTAATAAGAGCCCAACAGGGGTCAGAAACTCAAGGACTGGCCTCAAAGACTACCTCTGAAAAGGGCTGAAAAGGAATTCAAACAAACTGTGGAGGGAGCCATTTGTGCCTCAGAGCACTGTTGAAAATAATAGCGCAACCAGTCAGCAATTAGTGAAGGCTACGTGGTGGATGTGACACAAACAGAGGCACAAAGCTTAACAGAGTGGTAAGAGGAAAAAGCCAGAGTCCTGCCAGGATTACCATCATCCCAGAGTGACTGTGGGCATCCTCAGGTTGCGCTCTTTGAGGAGCAACGTGAGAAACGCTTAGAGGAGGAAAGAGACTTCAATAAAAGAGTTCAGCCAGTCACTAAACAAATAAAATGACAACAGGCTCAGAGAAGGAGGAAAAATCAGGACCAAGAGTTGCTACAACATATTATCTAAAATATCTGCTTTTCAGAGGAAATTATGACATGCAACAAAGTATGACCCATACAGGAATAAACTGACACAACAGAACTGCCTTTGAGATGGCCAGGATGTAAGAGAAGTGAAAAATACTTCAAAGCAGCTATTATAAATATGATATAAATATGTTCAAAGAATTAAAGAAAACATCTGTCTGATAAGATACTAAAGGAAATTGTTCAGTCTTTAAACAGTTATCCAGAGTGCTAACAAAGTATGAATGCATATTTCTTGTCCCTTCTTTTCCTAATCAATTTGAAAAACAATTGTTAAAACAATACATATATAATTGCATTGTTGGGATTCTAACATATAGAAATATAATATAGTTGACAATCAGCACAAAGAGTTGGATGGAAGCAAAACTGTGTTGAAGGTAACAATGAAAAATAGCAACTAAAAACAACAAGAGCAAATGAAAAAAAAAAAAGCATACAAAAATATTCAATAACAAGGTTGACATAACAAATATATATTTGCTCTCCTCTCTCAATCTCTTTAAAAAAATTAAAATTTTGTCAACTAATAAGTATAAAAATATATTCTTGAGTTTGCAACATATATAGATTATGTGTGTGTGTGTGTGTGCGTGTGTGTGTGTGTGTGTGTGTATATATATAATTTATATATATATTATATATATATAAACACTAAGAACACTAAGGAAGTGACTAAAATAACTGTATTTTTTATTATAAAAATTAAAATGTTATACTAAAAAATATTTATTTAATGCAAAAAAGCAATTAAAAAGGAATAGAGTAACAAAACCCCAAGATATTTTTAAAAAGAGTAAAACAGCAGACAAATTCAACCTTATCAAAAATAACATTAAATTGAAGGTATTAAATATACAAAGAAGAATGAAGAAAATAAAAAAGATTAGAACAGAAAATAATGTAGACTAGAAAACAAAGAGAAAGTCAATAAAGCCAAAAGCTATTTCTTTAAAATGATCAAAAAATTAACTAATTCCTAGCTATACTGAACAAGAAAAGAGAAAACTCAAATTATTGAAATCAAATAAGAAACATAACTCTCAATATTAGAGATATAAGAATTATAATGCAATACTAAACAACTGTAAGCCATATAAAATTTGCAAACAACAGTATGAAATGAACAAAATCATAGAAAGATACAAACTACCAAAACTGACACAGGAAGAAACAGAAAATTTAAATAGACCTATATCAAATAAAGAGATTTAGTTAGAAATTTTAAAACTATCCTCAAAGAAAAGTGACAGATATATGGCTTCACTGGTGAATTCTACTGGATATTTAAAGATTAATATAAATTCTTAACAAACCCTTCAAATAGAATAGGATGGGAAACTACTCAACTCATTCTATGAGGATAGCATAACTGATACCTAAACCAGACAAAGATATCACATGGATAGAAAACTACATACTAATATCTTTTACAAATATAGACATAAAAATCCTCAACAAAATACCAGCAAATCAAAGCCAGCAATATATAAAAAGGATTATATAACATGACCAAGTGGAATTTATCCCATGAATGCATGGTTGGTTTAATATCTGAAAAATCAACCACATTAATAGAAAATAGGAGAAAAACAAACAATCATCTCAACAGATGCAGAAAAAGCTTTTGACAAAAGCTAACACCCTTTCATGATAAAAACAAACAAACAAACAAACACCCAACAAAACAGGGACAAAAGGGAACTACTTCAACCTGATAAAGGCTGAATGGTGCCCCACCCCAAAAGTTGCACCCATGTCCAAATCCCCGAAATCTATGAATGTTACCTTATTAGGAAAAGCATCTTTGCAGACATAATTAAATTAAGTATCTTGAGAAGAGGAGTTCATCCTGGATTATCCAGCAGACCTAAATCCAATGACAAGTGTCTGTATAAGAGACACAGACAGAAGAGGAGCAGGTAATATAACTGTGGCGGAGACAGTGGAGTGATTCAGCTACCAAAGGCTGGAAGAGGCAAGGAAAGGAATTTCCCCTAGCACCTCTGGAGGGGCATGGCCATGCTTACAATTTGATTTTGGATTTCTGGCCCCAGCTCTGTGAGATAATACATTTCCATTGTTTTAAGCTACACAGTTTACAGTAATTTGTGTACAGCTGCCATAGAAAACTAATGCAAAGAACATCTAAAACACACACACACACACACACACACACACACACACACACACACACACACACACACACCATCATACTCAATGGTGAAAGATTAAATGTTTTCCCCCTAACATCAGGAACAAGACAAGATGTCTGCTCTTGCCACTTCTATTAACATTATACTAAAAATGATAAACAGAAAAATAGGCAAGAAAATGAAATAAAAGTCATCCAGATTGGAAGGAAGAAGTAAAACTCTCACTATTTGCATATGACATGATAGTCTAAAGAGAAATTCTAATAAATCCACAAAAGAACTGTCAAAACTAATAAATGAGTTTAGCAAGCTTGGATGGTAAAAGACAATATAAAAATATCAACTGTGTTTGTAAACACCAACAATAAAAAATCCTAAGATAAAAACA